AACATTAAGTAGCAGTTTAGTACTATAAACATTAACCTAAGTAAGTATTTTAAGAGAGAGGCGTGGTTAATGCTTAAATGCTAATTGCTTATGCATATTAGCCCAGTTCGACTTATAACGCTATATTGATCTAATCTCCTAAGGACAATCAGAGTGTCAACTATCAGCTAGTTCCCAGACAGGAAATCGGAGCAGGTACAAGTGGTCAATAAAAAATGTTACAGAATTTTTATCTCAAGAATGAACTTGAACAGCCCATTATAGAGGTCATAAATAATTTATACCTTTACTTGTCTTAAAAACTCACTTTTTAAAATTCTTTTTAACAACAAAATAAGATATATTTGCTAAACTAACCCTTCATCACCATATGTTTCTATAAAAAGTATAATTCAAGAATAACAATAATTTTTGCATTATTCAGATTTTTCATGACAGAGAAAGAAAATTTCATTAGTGGGAGGAGCGAAACGATTTTGTAAGGGAAAGAAAGTAACATGATGTATTGAGTAAAATAGTAATTGAAACGTAAAGGTATTATAAATTTGAAAGCATTTGGAAGAGCGAGATTAGAAAATTTATATCATTAAGTAAACAAGAAAATTATTAATGATGTGAAAGTGTTCAAAAGAACCCAGTTGATTAAATGAAGAAGCTTTACGGATAATTTTTGAAGATCCCATATTAAAATGTAATTAAGTGACCGCCATAGTTAGCTAAAAAAATTCTTTTTTTCTTTCGAAATCTCAGTCATATTCTCTGAGAAGAAATTTCAGCGCTTTTTCAATTTGGTCAATATACACCAAACAACACGATACATATCAAGCAATGCTAAATTAACACAATAATTAACAGCACATATGAGATTCTTAAGAATCGAAAAATGAATTTTACTGATAAGTGAAAAAAACAGCTTAAATATTGAGCTTATGGAGAAGTCGAGAAATTTTGTAATTAATAGTTTAATAATTATTGGGTACGTGCCAGTGAACAACAAAGTGTCAGTTAACACTGTCGGCTTAGTATCTTGTTGACTAAATGTCTTGACAATTAAGTGTCCCGTAGCTAAATGTCCTGACGGCGAACTCTCTGTGACGGCCAAATGTCCTGTCGGCTAAGTGTCCGTGTCGTCTAAATGTCCTGTCAGCTAAGTGTCCGTGTCAGCTAAATGTCCTGTCGGCTAAGTGTACTTGTCGGTTAAGTGTCCGTGTTGTCTAAATGTCCTGTCAGCTAAGTGTACGTGTCGGTTAAATGTCCTGTTGGCTAACTGATGTCGGTTAAGTGTCCCGTCGGCTAAGTGTCACGGACCCGAATTTATGTCTGCTGCCGAAACTGTGTTCTCAGATTTATTGAATAATCTTCGAACTGTTGTTTCATTAACTGCACTTTCACGTCAAAAGATTGTCGGAGGCTTCCTGATTGACTGCACATGACACTCGCCATTTTTGTAATTGCTTTTTATTTTCGAAAAATACATTACTTTTGGGGGCATATCGAACCTCACATTTTTTCGTTTTACATTTCGTTTGTGTGTTAAGTTTTGTGATGTGAAGATAAATTGCTGGAGATAACAAATGACAATACTGGGAGATATGTAAACATTTTTCTTTATGAAGTAACAGTTTCCATTTTAAAGGAAAAGGTTTTCTGGAAACTTTCAATCCTGACGCGTTCTAAGAATAACAAAAGCAAAGGTTACAATCGGAAAGAATCTGTCTTCACACGTGAGTATGAAGATAAATAGCTCAGAGAGACGTAGTCTCGAGAAATCAGACTCAAGTGGGTGAAAGTGCTTGTGGTAAAATTTTATTTATCTACTTTCAAAAACATTTTCCAACTGTTTTTAACTTCTGATAGAATTGGTACTTTTATGTTTCGAATAAATTCACATCCGATGAAAATAGAAAGCTACAATTGATCTATACTGGATAAAAGTTTCTTTTTTTATTTTTTTCGTCTATACTTAACAGAATAAAAAAAGGCGAGCCATTTAAAAAACAATGTGCGTTTTTAAAAATATTTTGATATTACTTGATAGTGGCTTTTTAGCGGCTTGCTGTCATTAGTATAATTCAGGAGTGTCTAAATTGTACATCAGTAAGATTCGCGTATTAGAATTCGGGATCAAGAAGTACATTTATCATAGAGATGCGAAAAACGGGACTTTTATGGGACCGGATCAGAACCGAGCGTTTAGGAAGAATGGAAGAAAGAGCGGAATCAATCGAACGAGCAGTGGGTTCGGAACTGGTTAGCGACGTTGGAGCGAGGAGCGAAAAAATTCGAACGAGTATTTTGATGGGTAGGTTCGATTCAATCAAACGCTATCTCCCTGAACTGATTTCTTTCAGCTATAGTTTTGAGATTTCGTAAAACACTTTTTACATAGAGTGATAATAAAATTCTAGGCTAAATATTTTTCAAAAAGTTGAAAATTCCACTATCAGATTAATTAAAAAAACTTGAATTAATTTATTACAGGTGTTTATTCCTTTTAACTGAATGATCTGATATCCGAGCATATAGACAGGGAAGAAAATGCTCAGATATGTTTCGAACGATAAATGTATTAAACAAGTGTGTGCGCAATCTTCTATATGATGAAAGAGCATCGTAGCAAGATTTTGCCTTTATCTAGAATTGCTATTTTGAACAACTCATAATAAATACTCGTATATGATTTTATGCTTTATAACTTTAATTTTTGAGAGATTAATTTTTAATTGAGATACTTCGTTATTATTTGAATCGAAATTGTTTCAGATTTTAAACTGCAATTTGGATATGAACTTTTAAAATTTTATAATTTTTCTTCGCTAATTTTAAAACTTTTTGAAATTCGAAAGATAAACTCTTCAAGATCTAAGGCTGTAACATGAAGTTTCCAAATTGCAATAAAAAATTTTTACATTTCCGGTTGTTAAGCTACTTTTCCTGTATGAAAAACATAAACTAAAAGGGACATAATGTTTTTCCATCTAGAACGAAAGAGACAAACCTGTGACCTTAAGAATGACCTTGAGAACTCGACTATCATTACCGGCAACTTAAATCTTTAATGCATCTTTCAAATATCAACGTAAAATTGGTTATTAGTGTAACAGAGGCAGTAGAGGCGATACGATATAGTATGCTCCAACAAAAGCGCCGTATTTAATATGCCCAATAAAAATACTTTATTAGGAAATGGAAAATATTTGTACGTATTTACAAGTAAATGTTGTACTAGTTTAAGAATTAAAATCTGTGTCTGTCATTATGTCTTTCATGACGTGTTCTGCAACATCGCACTCTCTAGATGCGCATATGCCTGTTGGAGTGGGTAATGCCACAATCAGTTTTGTTTCTCTTTAAATTCGGAATTTTGGAGACAACAATAACACTGTCACGCAAACTAGCTATGTTTTCATTATGTCTTTCATGACGTGTTCTGCAACATCGCACTCTCTAGATGCGCATATGCCTGTTGGAGTGGGTAATGCCACAATCAGTTTTGTTTCTCTTTAAATTCGGAATTTTGGAGACAACAATAACACTGTCACGCAAACTAGCTATGTTTTCGACAAACCGGTTAGATCGCGAGCGTGGTGATTGAATATCTGTGAAAAAACTGTGTTGTCAAATTTCTTTGTCAGTCAGTGAACTGTTGTTTCATTAGGTGTCCTTTCACGGCCAAAGATTTCATAAAGCTTGTAGAGACATTAAGAATTTTTCGGAAGCAGGTGATGTAAAAAATGAGCAACACCCTCGCCGGGAATCGAACCACGGACCTCTGGAATACGCGGCCAGCGTGTTGGCCACTACACTACGAAGGCATGCTAAGAAGACGGGAGATGTAACTAGACCTTATAAACATTCTAACAGTCTATTCATAATATTCTCCATTCTTGCAATGTATTTTCACAATCAAAACTTTCTGTTCCCCCGTGTAGCGGGCAATACTAGTGGCCGATCGGTAAAATCCCTGAATGCTGGTAATTCGACCCGGTTTCGAGAATGGGGGGAATGGGCTGGCTGCGTAGGTGGTTTCGAGGTTTTTTCCATGTGTAACATGGATACGAGCCAGGTTTCTTTGAAAAGTTCTCCACGAAAGCATCTCGCCAGATAGCTTGCTTTGCCGTTATCAAATGAACCAGATCAAACCTTTGCGTAGTGTTCCATGTCATCTAAGCAGTAAAATGAGCTGGCAGTGAAAAAATGCCAATGTTACCATGTGAAATCAAACGCAACCTTCTTAAATCGGAGCATTTACACGGTGTAAGTATGAAAAAATATTTTTCATTTTTTAAGAATAAATTATTCTTTCGGGCACATTAAATCCGGCGCTTTTATTGGGACTCTCTGCAGTTAATAAAATCTATAGAATGTAAGCAGAGGGTTTTATATAGTGCTTTGATTATTATTTATAAATGTCTGCATTCTGGTTATTTATATTTCTCAAGTGCCTTCCTACGAAAATAAAACAAAAAATTGCATCATATTTTTTTATGCTGAGCAAATTATCTCAGGAGACTGATGAGCGAAGACTATAGATAGATGAATAAAAAAATTTTAGCATATCAAAATTAAAATTACGCCATCTTACAAAACTCTTCGAAGTAAATCCAGTACAAGTTTTGCTCTTTCGTTTCCAAGGTGAATTTATACCATTTACTGATACACTTGCGAACATAATTACTATTAAATTAGAAGCTAGAAATAAAAAATTAAATCTGGATTGGACATTAAAAAGAAAAATTATTATTTCATTAGTTATTTTTAATTAAATTAAAAAGAACTAATTAACTTTTTGATTCATTAACTATTAAACTAATTGCTTTTTGGCATGCAGATTTCAATCAAACAGAATGGTTTCTTATTTGTAGAGAGTTACGTTTATTTCTTTTATCAAAACTTAGGGAATGAGAAAAGAAAAAATGAATTATCTAGAGAATTCCACCTTTCTATTTTATTTAAATTTGGCTTAATTTTTTCCAAAGATAATTAATGCGTCGGCTTACCTCATGCTTAGGATTTATTTTCAGCGCTTTTTCGAAAGAAAGCAACGCCAAATCTGTTTTTCTTTGTTCCAGGAAAACAACTCCCAGCTAGAAAGATAATTAATGAAATGTAATCACTAGGTATGGAGAAAAATAGTAATATGTAATTTATACAGTTAGGAATTAAGACGACTATGGTTTAGAGCAGCTTATACTGCACTGGGCACAAGAATAAAGGAAAGGTATTAATTTTCACATTCTAAAATTTATTCAGAATTTTAGGAATAAAAATTAGAGAAAAAGATATGTTTAGAATCATATTTCCAAGTATATATATATATATATATATTCATATTCTAAAATTTATTCAGAATTTTTAGGAATAAAAATTAGAGAAAATGATATGTTTTTTAGAATCTTATTTTTCCAGGTTATATATTTTCACATTCTAAAATTTATTCAGAAATTTTAGGAATAAAAATTAGAGAAAATGATATGTTTAGAATCTTATTTCCAGGTTATATATTTTCACATTCTAAAATTTATTCAGAATTTTTAGGAATAAAACTTAGAGAAAAAGATATGTTTAGAATCTTATTTCCAGGTATATATATATATATATAGACATAAAGTAAGAAATTTAGAACTAATTTTTCACAAAGACCAAAAATTGAAATTCTTAATTAATAAATTTCAAATAGCCCTATAAATACAACAAAAAAATTAAACCAAAACTTTTAAACAAGCAATATCCCAATTAAAATATTTAAAGAAAAAGGAACAAAATGAAAGAGGAATTCAATCAACTTCAGTGACACTTCGTCAGGGGGGAAGGAACATTGAAATCAATTGAAATCTCTCTTCTACAAAAATCCTTGCTTTTCTGTATCCAGAATTAGCCGATGAACTGATGATCCAGAATTAGCCTATGATCAGTGTATATATGTGTGATGCTATAATTTAGTTCCTTACAGTAATTTGATGAGAGATAAGTGCGAGACTAGGGAAGAAGTTATTTTGCAGTTGCGAGCGGATTGAGGTTAGATCATCACTGAAAATATCAATTACATTGTAGAAGATGCGGAGAACTTTTGACGAATCAAAATAATTACTTGATAATCCAAATATTTCTTTATTACTTGCTGATCGCCCTATGGCATAGCACATCACAATGGGGCCAATCTGCATCCAACCATTTTGATGATGACGCATTACATGTTTAATAGAAGCAGCTAAGCCAGAGTCGTCGCTAAGCTAGCAAGCGTAGGTAGAGAAAGAGGGAACAGCGAAATTTCTTCCAAGGAGCACACAGAGAGAAGCTAAAGTGCTGATTTATCCAGTTTGACAGTCTGTTAAGAGAAAGGTTTTGGTTTAAGTCAGAAATGTTTCAGTTCTCAGAGTTTAGCTTCCGAAATAACTATGTCATGAGCGTTACGAGGGCTATGGCATGGATTAATCTAGAAATGACGCAGTCCAGTAATGTTGTTACTAACTTTTAGAAGAAGAGGAAATAGCCAGGTAACATAAACTCTACTAGATCCTACTAAGGAACCTAGCGACGTCTCGCACACGCGTAAAGAATACCAGCACAGAAGAAGGGTTAAAATATCTCTTTATTATTCGTCAAACTCTGAACAGAAAAGGCACGTACTTCATGCTTACAATAACACCGAAAACTTGCGGTGGAGCTTAAGAAACGTTATCACACAATAAATTCAGAGCTAAAGTGTAGTGCTGGACCAACAATTTAAGTTAAAGGCTAACTAGTTTATCTCAACAACCTACCCGGCGCGATACTTGTTTAAATGGCAGAAAGGAGTATCAGCAACTCCGCGTAACAGAAAGAACAGACATGTAACGTGCGCTGGCTAGCGATAACACGCTTTGAATAAACTCCGAGATTCGATCGTTTAAATATCACTTCACTTCACTTCACTTTAAATTTTCATCTTGGCGAGGAAATGCGAGGGTAAGTTGAGGAGTTCAGAAAAGATAACACGAATTTGAATAACTGTTTAATTGAGATAAGGGAAACCCTACAGAATTAGAAATGAGGAATTAAGAAGCTATTAATAAATTAAATTATAAAGCTGATTTACATATTTTTTTATCTTACATGTATGCAAAATAAAAAAAATTTGCAATTCTCCCTTAACCTTCAATTTTAATTTTGATATTTTTCCTTTCTCTCCTTAAATACTGATTGCTGATAATAAATCTCTCTAAACAACTTAATTTCAAAATAAATAACCATCACATGATTCTTATATAATGCCCTTTCGCAATTAATTGGCATACATGCTTTAGCCAATCCAGATAAAACAAACTGAAACTCATTTTGGAAACCAGAATTTCTCTCCCAGGCTTGCGTTTTAAGTGAATCACATTCCTGTCCTTAAGCCTTCGGCAGAAATTAATAGCGTGGTGATAAAATCCTACCGTAAGCAAATAATTGTTTTTATTTATGACTGCATATGTAAAATAGTAGTTACGTAAATGCTTTTTATCATTCAGTGTTTGAGTAGGGTTTTAGTCAAATTATGGTTTTTCTGCACAGATGATTGAGAAATTAGTGAAAGTAGCACTGGGTGAATATTATGTAAAAGTGGTGCAAAGCTCCTTTGCTCCCCAGTTACAAATGCTGAATGAGGATAAAGACTAGTTATGGTTGCATCAGGATGTGGCAACCTTACACTTAGTTAGATCACTTATGCACTTTGTTTTCTATAGACATTTCCTCAGAGATTAGTTTCTCATTCTGATAGCATTTCTCTAATTTAATATGTGCTAATACCTTTCTATGGAGGAATGTTTCAAGCAAAAAGTTTTCCAAACACGTTGTGCCGTAGGGTTGGAATTGAGTTGATCGCATCAAAGCTGTCGTTACCAACAGGGGCAGATGGGGGTGGTGTGATCGACGCGGCCAGTTTGCTTAAATGTTCCGGCACTTTAATGCAAACTGACCATTGTTGAAGAAGGAATAAATGTACAACAGTAAGAAGCTGCTGACACCCTTATGAAGTTCAGCATATATCATGAAGAATTCAGCCTCCATCAAGATTTCAAGATGTTTCTTTAAAGATCAAACAGTCGCCAACTTAAATTAAGATGTCGGCAGCTTTTGCAAGTTAGCCATTGTTCATCAAGTTATATGGAGTTACCGGCATCTTAAGGAAGCTCGGTTAACACCAAGAAGAATGCAAACTTCAACAAAATGCCTTGACATTTGGTGTTTAATTTTAGTGAATAGTTAACGAGATGCCTGCATCACTGTGAAGTTTACTTTAGTATTTAGATAAAGAAACTTAAATCAAAATGCCGCAGCTTTATCATAATTTCTGCCTTGAAGAAATCTCAGTCATAAAGGTGACGGAACCTTTACATAAGCGGGCTAGAACCTCAACGATGCATAAATGCATTAGCATGCTTATGAAGTCAGTACCACTATTAGATTTAGTTTATAACTTGAAGAAAGAAAATTTTATCAATTTATGATATCAAGGTGCTAGCACCTTTATATCAGAGTGTCTTTATGAGGAATCGTGGGAAAATCTTCTTATAAAGACACAGGCACCATTATAAAATTCCTACAGTCCCCGACGCTTCCGAAAATTTTTCGAATTGATCGACTCATCCCTCCATTATCCCTTACAAAGTTTTCTGGATAGCCTTCTTGAAGTCCTTTAAAAGAATATATGATGAAACCTGCTGATCTTTTCAGATACTGTGTTCAAATGCTTACTGAGAAACAGCGTTTGTCTTACTACCATTGTTTCACATGAAGAGTAATAAATAAAAAGTCGTTGCACATATAATTATTATTTAAATATTCGAAAATATATATTTTGAAGTAATAAATAACAGCAAAACTACGGTTTAATTAAGTATTTTGATAGTGTTCTTTGCTGAAAACACTTATTGTTTGTTTGTGTTTTCTCACTTGAAAACCATCTTCTGTTTTGTCATTCTTTCTGCTTGTCATCTTCTGTTTTGACAATCTGAGAGATTCTGTCAGACAACGATTTCCGTTTGCCTTTTTTTTCCGTTTGCCGTTTGCCTAGTCCATTTTTCTTGGTTCTTGGTTTTTTAAACTGTTTGCTTACTACGCAAAAACATACATAAGTACACTTCAGCTTGATTTTCCTCGCTTTCTAATTTAACTCTGTAAGTTAATTCGTGGTGCTGAAATACAAGAATGACCACGCTTGCTATATCGAGCTATGAAATTGAAAACCTTTACTAAAGAAATAGAGATCATGGAATTTTACTCAAAATACTTATCATCTAATCACGAAACAAATAACAAGCGATGCACTCTTGCATGAAACATTGGATATTGTTCAAAACAGAATCCTAAATTTTTATTGCTTTACATTTATACCATCCTGTCTCATTTAGTATACCATGCATATGGATTTAAGAACATTTAATTAATCCTTGCGAATATATGAATAGAAAGAGAAAAGCTTACGTTGTAATGGATGTCTGCATTAGCTTCATCGAGCAGCAATGCTCTTTCATAAACGCTCTGTGCTTCTTGAGTCCTGCGAATAAAAGTAATGAATATCTCATTAGCATATAAATAATTCCTTCCCGATGTACAGCACAGAACACAGGAAACAACTAAAACCTATTGAATCAAGCTAAGAAATGACACAGCTTTCATACCAACCTGTTCAATCTGATAAGTATGTCTCCTCTGTTGATGTAAGCCTCGACGTAATCAGATCGCATACGTATTGCCTCCTGGTACAGCTGACAAAGAAAACATAGAAACTAATTATGAATCGAAAACTTGAGAACGATTTTGTAAGGTATTTTCTCCTTCCTTCCATCATGCCTTCGTGATATAATTAGGAGCACTTGGTTCGTATTCGAGAGGTTCAGGTTCGAATTCCGGGCAAGGGCATTGCACAATTTTCACATCTCCTACTTTAAAAACCCTAATGGCTCTAAATTTATCTTAAACTCTCTATTTTTAATTTATCACTTGAAAAATTAAATTTAATAAGAATAACGTTTTTTAAAAATACTGCTTAATTTGTAATATTTTTTTGCGACGTGTGTACCTACACATCATGATAAAATGGGAAAGGTTAATGTTAACATAGTTAATATTAATGCAGCCATGACTATTGCAATACAAAAATAAAGCCATGACGAACGTTTATAAAGCACCTTGTATATTGTTAAATATACAAGGTGCTTTATAAACGTTGTATTAATTATATACAAGGTGTTAAATATACAAGGTGTTATTTAACAGTATAACAAAGGTTGTCTTGGTTAAAGCAAAATATAGGGTATTTAAAAAGTGCTGACCCTTTAATCTTTGGCTTTAATTGCTTTCAGTTTGAAAATTGCTTTAATGTAGGCTACTGTCAAGTTTTGTTACCTTTATAAGTGCTAGAAATAGCTCATTTCAACAGTTATATTTCGCATGTTAATGCTACTTAGTGAATTGCTACTAATATTATTATCATAGAGGACAAATCTAAAGGAGTGTTAAGGAAGGTATCTGAATCTCACCATGTCTGCCTCTTCCAGTCGTGTTCCATCTCTGGAAATGAGATTGGCGAGGTTCAGGAACACATTTAAATGACTTGGAGCGACTCGAGCTTCATACCCATCGCCGAAGGGCGGTCGTGGTAGCAAGTCCTTTGCCTAAAAAAGAAAAGTCAAGAATTATAATGTAAACAGAAAAGAAAAAGTACATTTACAAATTAATTTTTAAAGCCTAATAATCTTCCTTAAGACCATTCTTTTATAGGACTTCAGTAAAGGAAATCAAGTACAGAAACCGGATTGGGATAGGACATGTAATAAGAATGTTAAGTCGTGGAAAATCTGAGAAAGGTACTGATATAGTCTTCTAAAGTAGTCTCTAACTCTCCAAACCTTATTAGTTTCCCTCCAAACCTTTTTGACTGTGTATCCCTAAGACGAAATTAATTATAAGTTTTACCTCATGTAATATAATATAATATAACATGTTCAGTCATACAATCACAAGAGATACAAAGCTTACTCTTTTTGGTGTATAAAGTATCAGTTTTGCGCACCTCGTGGGGTATGCAAAGTGATACTTCATTATTTTAAAGGAAAACAGCGTCTGAGTCGCGATGACAAAAGGCAGTCCATACTGCTTTGGAAAACAATGGTAGAAGATGAGAAGCACAAAGTTAAATGGCAAAGAGGAAAATAAGATAGGGAAACGGCGTTGGTCGCAGGAAATCAGGGATGCAGCCAGAACTGGTACACCAGCAGCAGAATTTAGGGATTGAGAAATTCTGGAGTCTCCAAACATCAAGGACTGGACTGAGCGACATAACGCTTCCCACTAGTCGTGCAACGACAACTTGAATGTTTTAAGATTACAAAAGACTAAAATAAGATTACTAAAGACGACAACTTGATTCTTTTAAGTTAAAAAGGTTAACACTAAACGAAACTCTCTTCGTTATTAATACTTAAAATAAACAATTTAGCATTTTCAGAAGTCAGGTACTTTCACGCATTTTCCATTGTTATCGAGTATTCCGTCCATCATCCTTCATTCATACTATCACCAAATATTTATAATATAATTAATAGTATACAATGAGAGATATATTTTATAGTTATACAACATGTGAATTAAACATTATGGGTAGATGGATTTGTAAGAATTTATCGTTTTTCATCGTTCGTATTAGCACGTCCGACTGGCAATCGGAAGGTCGATGGTTTAAATCATAGAGATGACATACATATTTGATTTCTCACATCTCTCGGTCCCAAATATTAAACGCATGTATTTACAAATAGGGTTGAACTAAATATAATGGATGGCTTTTTCATCACCTGGATTTGGCCGACTGAGTCTTGTTTTTCTCTTCCCGTTTGCCTTTTAGTGGAGGAAACTGTAAGGAATTATCGCCAAGCCCATGTGTTCTTGCGGTTAAACTAGTATCATGTCCTTCGAGTATTCCAAAACCTGTCGTTCGAATACCTGCAAGGCTATAATTGATTTGTCTCGTTTCTTAGTCTCGGAGGAGCATTCTTTGTATATTAAAGAAAATGTATCGCTTATGAAGCTCCTGTTTCAGCTGAAATTTTAAATATTCGTCTGTACCTTCATGATTCAATCGAAAACCATAAAGAGTTTGCTTTGCAATGGGTACGAGCCCACTGCGAACTCCAGGGTAATGAAATAGCTGATTCCCTGTCAAAGAAGGCAACCAAAATTGCTTAAATAACAGATAAACCAATTCCTTTTTATACCGCCAAACGGTTAATTAAAAGATCTTTATAGGGTACTATTGGAAAAACATCAAAGAGGCAAACAAAGAAAAGAAATGGATTGAGGAAATCACAAATATTCCACTATGGCCAAAGGACAGATCTGTTGCCACCTTTCGCCTCGCTACTGGCTATGATTTCCTCTCCAAGCATATATATCGTATAAAAATTCTGCCACGTCCTCTTTGTCAATTATGCAACGTTTGTGAGGAAATAGACGCAAACCTTTTGAATCGCTGCATTGGGCTCGGGGCACTTGCGGGAGAAATACTGTAAAGCTCGACACAGGATGAAAGATTTATAGATTTACTGTAGTTTTAGTTTCATTACCTGTTTCTTCTGTTTGTATTTCTGACTACAGTTGTCTTCTAATCTGAAACTAGAAATTAAAAAAAAAGAATAGTGATATGAACACTTGTTAACACATTTCCACTGGTAAGATATTGTTACTGTACGCTTATTAGTGAATAAGCTGTCTTTACAAAGGCGATAATGAAATAGTATAATAGTAAATAAATAAAAATAAAATAAATTTATGTTTTAATTAGTAATTCAATGCTGATAAAATTTATTTTATTTTCATACAGGAATTTTTAATACGGCCCCTATGTTACGTATGACACCGTTCATGTGCATTTTTACTTAAGGCAAAACACAAGCACAGAACGTTTGAAATCGCGCTAATACCATCTCACATTAATAACAGTAACAACATGTAACTCAAATAGTTATCTTTAAAATTTGTCATTTTACTTTTTCACTTCATATGATGAAGATGCTCTTTCTTTATTTAGAACATTAAAATATGTTGACTTCAAATTTTGATTACTTTGATCTTCAAGCAAATTTGTCTATTGTAATTGCAATTAACGGGAAAAAAAGACTTTTATGTGTAATAGGAAAAATGCCTATGTAAAACACAGTTATGCAAAGAGAGTGTTTACACACTTTCAGAACAGTTTTGGGGCCATTTTTTAAAGTCTTCTTTCTGGACTATAATTGTGCACCGTGATTTTCATCATAAAAGAGCTTTTCGTAAAGGTTTCAGGGATATTGATTTTCATTTCTCTTCCACTATTTGCCGAAGTCCGACAATCGTGAATGTTTTGCACTTAGAAAACAGCTTTTTTCAAAACACCAAGGCTTCAATAGGTGAAACATCACAGAACTTCGCTAGGATATGCTGAAGATATATATGCAATATCAGTCTTTATTTTTTCAAGGAATGCAGTGGTATGTTTCGAAGTATGACTTTTGCATTGTCATTCAAACTATCTTTGCATTGACGGAATCAGGTTTGTACAATTTTTCGGTTCGTTTTCAGTTATAATTAGACCTTATTTCGTGGCACTCATTTAGGTAAACTCATGCTTCACCAAGAGTTACAATGTGTTTCCTTTTATCTGCTACTCAATAGTTTTCATATTTCATATTTCGTGTCATAAGTTCTAGAAATTGTTTTTCATTGAACCTCATGCGTCGGCAAAAGCTGTTGAACATTATATTTTTTACCCTTTTAAAGTTGTAAATCTTGGTTATTATTTTATTTATATGGTGCAGATGTATTGATTGATGATGATTGAATTGATGTGTGCGACAGCGGTTTCTCTCTTATTATTAACGATTTAATTTCAGAAACCTTAGAAGCGGCATGTACCTATTTAAGATATTTTCTTGGAGTCTTCTTTTCAGGTCGAAGCGATAAATTATGGTGTTTCCCTTTACGATTAATAATGTTATTTATTTTGCTTTGAGAAATTTAAATACCATGCATTTCACAATGTTTTTTAATTATGGAATAGTCGGTTAAAGGATTTGTCTTCGGAAAGCAAAAAAAAAACCCTAAGGTATCCTTCAATTCATAGCGTGTCTAAATGCGAGATTTTGAAAAAAGATTAAATGTAAGCCTAGTGGAGGATATTTCTCATTTTAGATAATAAGTTGTTTTCAGAAATTTTTATTCTAAAACATATGTTTTTTTAATTCTTTACCGAAATCTTTCTAAAATTGCGTAAACACCCTCTGTATAATGTAGCAAATTCTACAATTCTACAAATATATGGCTAGTTAACCTTTATTGAATTTAAATTGCAGCCAACAGTAGAAAAATTCCAGCAAGAGTCGATGTAAAATTTTAAAAACCTTATAGCTATTAGCAATTACATTTAAAAGCCTTTTGTTCGCAAACGAATCATTTTTAGCTAAGGCAGAAAAAAAATACCTTCTACCTTAAAATTTCTACATAGCATCGCCAGGCAAATTGCTTTGGTTAGGTTTCCGGAGAGGAAAATAAACGTATACAGTTATGCTTATCTGTGACAAATACAAGAAAATTATTTTTAATTCATCATTTGAAGCTTTTATTTAGCTCATGTTGCTGCATTCGAAAGATGTCGAGAAGTCGAGAAGTCGAAAGATGTCGAAAGATTTTAAAATGTCTTCTGCTTGGCTATCGAGCTCAAATGTTTGCGCATATACTGTTTAAGGATCGCAATACAAAGTGGTGAAGCTAATTTTTCAGATTAAATTTAACAGTTTTGATTTAACGTTTGAAACGTATATTCGTACACATCTTCGTTTAACGAACAATCTAAAATCTAAGAATTTTACTATCAACACCATTAAATAAAGAAACGAAATCCATGAAATGAAATTTATTTGGTATTTTCAAAATAATTTCTGAGTTTTTGGGGGAATTTTCGAAAGACGCTTTATTTTTTCGACTATTTCTTGTCAGTTGTTTTACATCTAAAAATTGTTCAATAAATAATAAAGTTTTCAAATTCTCACAGACTGTAAAACAAATCTATTGCCATTTTACTTAAAGGAACGATAACAAGGTATTAAAAGGGTAACTTTTTTACATTTTTTAAAGAACATACACCAATGACTGCTGTACTAAGCAGACTTCGTGGTTCTTTGGGTGTCGCGCCTTAGCTTAAAAAACAGTTTCAAAGTTATGATGCCATTGTTTGTCACACTATTTCCTTTGCGTCTGTATACTTATCTTTAATATTGATTTTATTTATTAATTATCTTCCATTTGTTAGAAATAATTATTTGCAAAGAAATTAAGCTTACTCTAAAAGTCCTCCACCTTTTATAAATTCTGCTTTCTCCCTGCCTTTTTACAAACAAATTTTGCATTTAATATCCATTTCATTTTGTTAATCACAAAATGAGATAATAAGAGTTGGAGGATTGATTAGCGTTTAAAATTATTAGCAACAAAATCTGCAGCGTCATTTCTAACTTTTCTCATTCAAGTCGAGATGCAAAAAATGCGAACTCTTCGTCTAAGGTAACCTAAGATCAAATTTTTAAACTTTTTGTGACAGATATAATAAGGTTTTTCTCCCGACTTCTTAGCGTGCCTTCTTGGTGTAACGGTAGCACACTCAGCGCGTATTCGACAGGCCCGAGGTTCGAGGTTCGAGTCCCGGCGTGGGCATTGCTCATTTTTCGTGTCTCCTGCTTCGAAATAACCTAATGTTTCTACAATATAATGTACATATTTTTAAAGTTGGAAGTAATATATTTCGTAATAACATAATTAGTAATAACAGAATTATTGGAAGCAAAAGAGTGATAATGCATTGCTAAAAAACGATTTTTCAATTCAATACTTTCATTGATAATGGGTAATTGAGACTAAAGTTTTTACTTAGAACTCATAAAAGTCAAAAATAATAAATGACACAGTTTAATGGGGACAGGAGTTAAGTAATTTTCTTTACAAAATTTATCTATAATTTTATTTCACGAATAAAAGGCATGGAACGACTTTAATAACATTATAAAGATAATGGCTTGTGATTTTAATAGGACAATTCAATCATTAGATTTCGTTATTTAGTCACCCACGCTTTTATTATTTGTGCAAATGAATTTTATAAAGAGAATAACTTTATCTCCTATTCCCATCAAACTATATGATAAATTATGTTTCTCCTTTCAGTTCATTAATACGAGTTTTAAATAAAAGTTTATTTTATAACTTAAAATGTTTTTATAAACAAGTAACTAAAAGGTTATAAGGTATTTCTCCCGCCTTCCTAGCATGCGTTCGTGGTGTGGTGGTCTGCATGCTGGGCGCGTATTCCAGAGGTCCGTGGTTCTATTCTCGGCGAAGGCGTTGCTCATTTTTCGTCTTTCATGATTCCAAAAAATCCTAATGTACCTACAGTGACGCCCGAATTAAAAGGGTGGTAGATGATGATTCTCCACACCCAGAATTTGGCGATTGGGTCCCTTAGAAACCCCAGTCGCCCTTTAAAAGGGGTAGTATATAGGGTATTTATCCAGCCTTCCGAGCATGCCTTCGTGGAGTGGTGGTCTGCACGTTGGGCGCGTATTCCAGAGGTCCGTGGTTCGACTCCCGGAAAAGGCGTTGCTCATTTTTCAATCTCTCTTGCTTCCAAAAATTCCTAATGTAAGGTGAAGACAACATTTTGTATTTCGATTTTTTTGAAAAGAACTTCCTCGTTTTCAAGCAATGCTCGCCATCATACTTTTCTTTTACCTTATTTCAATAGCTGGTAGTATACGTTTTTGAGTACCATAATAAAGATTCAACGATATTTTTTCAAGAAAAAAGAAAATTTTCGAAAGTCAGTAAATGTTTTACCTTTCTGAAGGATTTTTCAGCCTCTCCATACATTCCAAGATGGTTATACGTTCTTCCAACATTGATATGAGCTCCAATGTCATCCGGCTCCACTCTAAAGAGTAAAATCTAATATTCAGCCATAAAGCATTGTTATTTACTCAGATATCAGCTTCCGTTACATTTTCGAAATAGAAAATTTTATATAAAATTGTCGTATTTTCACATACCTCTCAAAAATGTACCGTTAATAAAACAAAAAATATCTGATGTGAATACTACATGACTTCTTTGTATGGCCTATTAAATTATACATATTTTTGATGCATTTCATTTAAACTTATTTCTTCGAATTTTTTCATTCATATTTACCATTCAATTAATTCAGTTCTTACTACGCGGAAAAGCAAAAACTCAAAATCCATTACAAATTGTGAAATACAGGAAAACACAAAACACCAAATACAGTTAAAACAGTTCAAAAATAACTTTTACAATTAAAATTAAGAGTTTCTAGACAAAAATAAGGAATTCGGCCAGCGTGCAGGAAGGAAGAATTTTCGGTGCATTAAGAATGAACATTTACTTTTCGTCCCACTGGGCAAAAAGACATTGAAATTGCAGAAATTTAATTCACTATTCGTTTGAGTTTCAAATGTAAAATGGCGATTCATTAGGTTTAGCTATCCACTTAACCTTTTAAATTGTTTATAAGTCTACAATAATTGCATGCAGATTAACTAAAGCCATAAAAATCTAAACCGAAACATGAAAACCACATAATTCAAACACATTTAAAGCAAAAAATGCGCAATTTAACAACATATAAGAATAATAAACTAAGTGCACTGATCCAGGTAACAGAGTGGGAATATATTTATATACGATTGGTGCAGCCGATTGCAACGAAAAAGTGATGTGAAGAATTACATATTATAGCAATCAAATATACAAAAGTTCAGCGTTCTACGGTTATTAATTTTTCTGTTAAATAAGATACATACGTACGTATGTACGTCGTACAGACGTCAAGGGAAAAAATCTCTTCTGAATCCATTTTAAATCCATTTTACAATCCTTTTTGCCAAAAACAGTCCCTTTATTCTGTCCGTACGTACAGATATTACGCAGAAGCATTGTTCAAATGATTTCGAGAGCGGGTGAAATGCATATTTTCTTTGAAATATGATACCCAAAATGTTTCGCTATTACAATACTTCCTTTATTTTATACAAGGAAGTAACAGAGGATAATGCATCTTTCCAAACTAGAATTTATCTTTCAAACAGTAAACCACTGACGAACGCGAGAGTTACGTTATTGATATTGCACGTGTATGGCAAAATCGCGCTCTGCGAAATTAACGTCCTGTGAAATTGTGTCTTTGGTTATAATTCAGGTAATGAAAATATGTATAATTAAAAACTAAATATTGATGTAATTAAAAGGAAGGTTACAACCATCCTTTTTAACAAACAAATGTTAATTGAAAGGATTTTTATTACTGTTCAATAAGTATGTGATACAATGATCTTTTAAAAAGCTAGCAATATTTGCTTGGGATAATGACTGATAATCCTTTTATATATTTTATTTATCGGGATAATCCTTTTATATCTGTATTCGAATCAATATGACGTCTTCTTTCCATGTGTAAAAATCTTTCACCACAAATTGCGTTTGCAATTTGTACGATTTCTTTCGATGGAAATCCTTTAAAATTGCTGATAACGTCTGGCCAGACCTGTTGCCAGCAAGCATTGTCGCTGCTGAAAGAACTCTGTGCGTGCCGCTATGAATGAAATTCTAACTTGCACAAGTTAAGTGGAAACGATTAAGACAACGTGTATGCGAAATAGCGTTCGGCAAATAGTACACGCTGCGAAAAGGTTTACTGAAAATAACTAATTACGATTGTTTGATCAACTGATGTTGATGTTTATGATCAACTGATTATTAAATTGCGGAGGGGCCTGATAGAAACATACTGCTTTAACAGGTGAGAAGAGGAAACGCAAAACGATGATTTTATAAAATGATGGTAATTTTACGTTTCCTAATACAATATCAATTCGGGGTTTTTCTTCACCGTATTTTTGCAAACTTGTCGAAAAATAACAATTTAGAGGATCAAGCGTTTATAAATTGAGAAATATAAGTTGGGAAAAGTCATCTCACCTTATGGCTGTATGAAAATAACTCAAAGCCTCTGCATGCTTTCCTTGCGTTTCCAAGCAATGCCCAACGTTGTTGTACAGTTTAGCATTCCTTTGGTTTACCTGAAGACCTGATAAGAATAGTGAATATTCGCTCTGCCTAGATAGGAAGACGACAGGTTTAAAAAGCAGTACTACAGGCTATGACATCTAAGAAAAGCAACAAAAATGAATCATTTCTAGTTTATAAACTTTAATAAAAGGTACAATTTGATTGCAACAATCTTTGGGTTATGAGTTTTAAATATTGCGGTAAACATTATAGGTAAGTACACATCGGTATCCCAACCGAGGGAGGAGCTTCTCTAACGGACCTTGGGCTTCCAGTAGTATTTTCTGTATTGATATGTGAATCAGATGCTTGAAAATGTTTCGTCGCCGAGTTTTCGCTACAGAATAAATAAAGCATCGTGGATTTCTCGGGAAGATTTCCAACTCAAAATTAGATCAAATGTAAAATAATGTAAAATAATTATGAAGATTTCACTGTCATATTTACAAATCCATGATGGGTGATACTCATGATATTTGCGAAAAACATGTGAAATAAAATAAAAACAATGCCTTTCAAAAATTTAACATCAAAAGAGCGACAGATTTTCATTGGTGCGTACTCGAAGCTCCTCCCTCGGTTGCGATGTCGATGTGCACTTAGGGGGTAAGCTTAGGTACAGTTCATTTGCATATCTATTAATTATTATTTGTTTACCAAGTATATCTTCCTCACTTAGCTGACTACGTATTAGAATTTTTTCGATGGGAAGTTTGGAATCAAAGATAAAATATATTAATCAAACTAAAGTAATGTCTGATGAAGCTACGAAGAATTTTTGAATCGTGTGCACGGTCTGCTAAAGAGAATAGAACTCCAGCTATCCACGTAGCTAGTCTGTCTAATTAGGCAAAATAGTTTAAAGCTTATCGCTAATCTATTTAAAATTTGTAATTTTTACATTGATTTGAATAATATAACATGATGACACTATGATAACAGATTTCCACCGCAGAATATGCATATATTTAAGAGTATACGTACTTAAGAGGCTATTAATTTAATTTATATTATTACATACAAATGTCTACAGTGTTTGACAAATACCCAGCCCATAATGTTTAGTGAAAATATACTGTATATAAGCGTACCGTTATTTATTTATTTCATTAACCATTTTCCAGGCATTATTGATTAACCATATTCCGTTTCTAAAAACTGACCAAACAAATGTGTCAGTGCTTTGATAATTATTTTTCTGTGTACATAGGGAATTTTATCTTGCAAAAGCATTTGTACAGATGTAAATAATTTAGTTTTTGCTTACAGTAGAGTAAATAAAATGTGTTTATTTTAAAGCATGTGGAACTAAAAACAACTTATTTTGCTTTATTTAATCCAAAATACATATCGTAGCTGCTCAGAAAATAAAAAATAATTTCGTTTTTCTAAATAGTTGAAAAGAGAATTTTCTTCGAAATGCGCTTCACGGAAATAAAGATATTTTACAATTTTTAATGTGTATAAAAAGAAACAAATACCTGCATTTCTTGAAAATCAGATGATTTCTGGTCTACGCTATTATTTGTTTGGGGTACTGCTCTATGTAAACAGTCCTCTCTTTACAAATTAAATACTACTATGATTAAAAAATATTAGGAACGGTTTAATAAACACAAAACTTCAATTTATTGATTAATATTTATTACCACAAAGAAATCCCCTTCGACAATAACGCACTTATGCGTCAGTTTTTTTTTCAATCTTCGAAGCTTACTTTAAATTCGTTTTCGAAAAACCTCTTCGAGATTCCAAGCGAATTTTATTTTACTGAACTACAAAGCGTCAGTTTAATCCATTGGAGGTGAGGGGGAGACCATCTCACGGTATCACCTAATAAGATGAATCCGAAGCTTGCGGAGCAAAAGCTCTTCAATTTTGAACCAAATACTAAGGAAACGAAAACGTATAAGTCAGTAGGTGTATTACTGAGGTGAAATCCCCGAGTTACCTCTTCACATTTCAGTCGTTTTCTAAGAATTGCTCCATGCAAACATCACAATGCATTCAAGTAATATTCTTTTTATTTTAAGAATTCGGCCAATTGGTAGTAATTCAAGATATACAATACCACGAAAATTGGAGAAAACAGTCACTAATATTGAGTTTTAGCTGAATATGGCTTCTTCTCTTTTGATGACTTCTGGACTTTCAGGATTGCTTTACCTTTCAAGCGCCATTCATTAATGAGCTTTCAAAATTGTTCGTTATAATTCAGATGATATGGAAACTGATTTAATAATATTCCTAATTGTTAAACAATGACCGCTGAGCACGACATCTCTCACCTGATCGACTCATTGGTTAAAGTGGATGTTTTATCAGAGTGTAATTCATCTTTGATGTGTTTTCTACATTTAAAAAATCTTAAACCACCAAAATTATATCGTTTTTGATAACATTACGTCCTCAAATGTGCTCTGCTATATATTAAACGTTTTACAGCAGAAACTCTAATGCGAAAATAAAATTTAATATATGCTCTTTACTAAAATAATCCACCCCCATGGAATATCGTCGAAGTAAAAGCATTTTCTAATTATTAAAAACGAACTTATTTACAAATGATAAAAGGAATTAACTAAGTATCGTAGTCAGATGTCGACGCAAGTCGTAATAACTTCTAAAGAACTTTATAAGCAATTCCTTGGACATGCGCAATTAAAATGAAACTTAAGTCATTCCGGGTACACTTTATGCATGCGATACGACAGTAGTAGATTATAATACGACAATACGTTCATAAGAATCTTTAAAAATAGGATTCGTATGTAAATCGGATCCCTGACGAACAGAATTCATAAGATGGTTGTAGCAATAATTATAAAAATGGTAAAAATAATAGAAATTATATTGCTGTAATATCTCGTATTTGGTAAAAATTTCTAAATAACACAATAATAATAATATCCTTATATTATCTTAACAAGTTTCACGAATATTCTTGTTCACCTTGTCATTTTTATTACTTCATTGCGTTAATTATTCTCTAGATTATGTTTAAATAAACATGACGAAACTCCATGACTGATTATTATTGAAGAAATTACCAACTCTGTATCAAAACATAAGTTTTTATCACTATAGATACAATGAAACTTCTCAAGACGACCATCTCCGAAGAGAATGAAACCCTTTGAGGGTAATTAGTATTTTTTAAAATGTAATCAAATAAATGTTCACAAGATCAGCGATGGTCTTGCTTTGTAAACAGACCAACTTCATGGAAATCAAAATGGACCTGAAATCGAAGGTGGTTGCTTTAAAAAGACTTCACTGCATAATAAGAGTAACATTAACACCCAAAGTTTATCTTAATTGCTGAATAGGGCACTTTAAAACAGGAAGACCGACTAACATTAGCTGGAAAATCCTAATAGAGATGATACTTAAAATGGGCTCTGGGGAATCAGAATTTGATTCTACGATTGGAGAAGAATTTTCATAAGTCAATTATAAACAGTAAGTAATAATAAGTATAAACAGTTTCAGGATTTAATTCCGTTTCTTTTCAGAAGAAACTAGGTTCATTTGCGGCCCTGGTATTTTTTTCTATGCAGCCTTGTTTGGTTGGTAGCAATACCTGTGTTTGTTTGGATTAGGTTATTTGAATATAGTAAAATATGCAACGGCTATCTGCTAAGGTAAGGACTGCCTTCGTGTAGAACATTCTATAAGCAACTGGCTCGTATTCCTGTTACACACGGGGTAAACTATGAAAACCAGCCATGCAGCTAGTCCTACAAATGGTCAGTTTCTTCAGAAAATCGTACTAAGTGATGAAGCAACATTTTATGTTTGAGGAGAGGTTAATTGACATAATTGTAGGATTCGGAGATCAGAAAATCCGCATTTTGTAAGGGAAATTGACGAGATAGCGTTTACGTTAACGTTTGATGCGAACTAACTCATAACAGAGTAACTGGTCATTTTGAAACCATCAGTTGATTCAGATAATTACTTCGATATGCTGAGACCAAAGCAGCCAAACATTTGTTTTTTCTTTTCTTAACAGGATGGAGCCACTTGTCTTTGAGCTACACATGTATACTTAGTCCTTGATGAAACATTCCCAGATCGTTGGACTGGTAGAGAGAGATGGATTAATTTTATGGCCTCTTATGTTGCAGAAATTTGCACCACCGAAGACTTCAAAAATCAAATCGCTATAGAAACAGCTACTATGACTCTGCAATTGCTCAATAACTTCTGGAGAAAAATCGATAATAGGCATGATACTCTCAGAGCAACTAATTGTGCTCATGTTGAAGTGCCTGAATATAAAAATCTTTGACTTACTAAAAAAAGTCAGGTAAATCTTTTATCCTTATCAGTTATTCTATATTATTTAAAATATATCTTTAATAGAATAATTTATGGACACTGTGTATATCACTGAACCAGATAAAGACATATATCAATATGACTGTACCAATCATATAATTCTTTTGGTTTCCCAGTGTATAAAATGTTATATTAGTAATTAGAACTTGCTGTATTGTATTACATAATAAGGCTCATTTTCTTTCCTTCATTTCCGGAATTCTTGGAAATTATGTGTATTTTCCATACAAATTCGTAGGAAACTCTGATTATTTTATTGACTGATATCAAGACTTTGAAATTTATCCTAATACATGTAAACTGTGTTACTAGAATAATTAGCGACATTTATTAATTCCAGTGAATGAAAATCATGAAAGCCATTTACTAGTTCGCGAATCAAAGCATATTTCTCAATAGCAGTGAGGAAGGACGACTGATTTTCAATTTATTCAAATATAAAATAAATACTTCTGAATGATCCTTTACAATAAGTTGATTTACGAAAGTGAAATATTTGCTTAGAGGCCCGGAAATGCAATTTGTTCTGCTTTGTATAATAAGGCTTATTTGGCAAGACGAAATTTAATTAGAAGAGCGGAATAACTTCGAAAATCTTTTGCAATACCTGTTTATCTTTTGGAAAATCAATTCTAGTCATGGGAAGTTAAGACAACAAAAATCTTTCTCATTACGAAGCGTTGGCGTCGATTTCAGTTTCAAAA